TTTTTTTTTTTTTTTTTTTTTTTTTTTTGCTAAATACACAGCTCCGAATAGTCCTGGAATCTATTTCTAATCCGAGATAACTTTAAGGAACCGTATGTTGCAGCGCTCTCGGTTGGGGCTGAAGTTTGTCGGCTTTATGCTGCAGTGACCTTTATTGAATCAACAGATCTTTTCGCCAAACCTACAACTGCCTTTTTTCACCTTGTTATTTGGTTTTCACTTGCTTTTTGATGATTTTGATAGTTAAATTGGATTATGTAAAAGAATAAGTAGCCCTGGTTTTTAGTACACAGAAACAACTTCAAATTACCTGAAAAGTGTAATCAGCATCGAGGAACAGGATGACCGTTTCCTGACAAAAGAGGGACGTAAAATAAAGCTTCAAAAGCTTTGTGGGAGAGGTTTAAGAAAGCTGTTCATGGGGTACATTACCAGCTGCACCGATTAATTGCAGGCAGGAGGGAGGGATCAAGAAATGAATAGTGGTGAGTTGTATTGTAATTGAACGGAAAAAAACTTAAGTAAATGAACTAGTTAATTTTTATCTAGCTGATTTAAGGTGAATCTTTAGTGGTGTATATGCATTTTTACACGAATAATACGTTTCACTTCGTCTGTGGAATGAAGCGATACTGATAAAATTGTTTTTTAAAATTGCTGCAAGAATTAACCAAAAGATACTGTATGATTTTTTTGATATTTTGCATGTGACTAATAACTCTAAAGTTGCCTAAGGCTTGGTGTTTGACATAAGAATATTCCCCCCTGTGCTCGTCTTGCCCCGTTAGTGCCGCAACCGAAAGAAAATCCTAAAGGCTGTTGTTTTAACCAGACAACGATTACCGAAGACAGGGTTTTAAAATTTTTATTTATATGAAGTCATGGAAGGCTTGTTAAAAACAAGTAAGGAGTACGCAGGTGTAATCATTATAAATCACGTTTTCATTTGAGAATTTTGGAAATTTATGAAAATTGCTGAATATTAAGACGGTAAGGCGTAGAAGAACAGTAATTTTTTGGCCGTCGTTGCGTTCTCTGAAATGGAAGGCGTGACAACGTACTTGCTTGTCAGCTGCAGAACTGAAGATTTTAATGCGATTCTTTGGGAGGTCGCGGAGAAAGTCTACCAATAAATACCGTTCTTATATCTGTATCTTAATTTCATCATCTCCAAAGTCTGGTAGTATCTTTCAGTCACAGCCATCTCGATGACAGCTTAATTATCGTCTTGCTATTAGTTTTTGTGGCAGTTGAGTCGTATGGATACGTAATTCTTTTTTATTTGAAGGATACGGTAGCCACAGAGAGGATGACCCCTTTGACTGCAAACTGGAGAGCTAATTCCTTACCACTTTATTTAAGACTTATAATCACGTAATTTGATCGGTGGAAACTCTTATTTTTGATAGTATTTTTGATAGTAGTCTTCAAACTTGATTTGAAAGAATTATCCGAAAATTTTTAATTTATTTATTAATTTCTCAATGGATTTTCAAAACTCTTAGAGTTTGACAGACAGCACGCTGCACGTAATAAAAGCTACCATACGGAATATTTTCTTCTACATATTGGTCTTGCCGCTCATATAACGGTTCTGGAATTATAACTGTAATTAAATAAATCTAAACAGTTGATATCTTGCATTTTTCTTTCGAGATATCTACAGAAATTTGGGTCTAAAATATGAAAGCGGAGAAACTCTTTGTTATGATTCCCACTAAAATACATTTTTTTCAAGAAAGTGACGCTGAAAAAAGATTGCAGATTGAGAAAACAATAACTTGCTGCTTGCTGAAAGAGTGTCACGAAGTTCGTGACCTCTAATATACTTCTTACAAACAATTCTATGGAATGCGGATTAAAATATAATGTAAAGGAAATAGTTTATTAAATTTCAAATAAAATTATAGCTATGCAAGACAGGATCAGTTTTGTTGAACTTTTTATTAAAGTATAACCTAAATGTACACTGATTTAACCAGTAGATTACCAAGC